CGGAAAAAGAGTTAACCACACTATTTTGATTACAATATATTTAATATCGAAATGGTTGCTGTCTATTCAGTTGCGAAGCAGCACAAACAGAACGAAAGAGAGAGAGAGAGAGAGAGAGAGAGAGAGAGAACAAAATCGCCAACACATATGAACGAAGAAAAATCGGTAAAGGAACGAGATTAAATGGAAAACAATTCCAATACAGAAATGATGAAAATGACTGTAATATACTGTTTTGAATAAACGATTTGAAAAGACGAAAGAGTTACCGGTGTAACAAAAACCCAACAGAAAAAAGTATTAAACAGTATAATTTGTTTCTGGATATTTGGTCAAAGCGTGAGAACCGAACAATAAAAATAGAACAAATACACAGTTTTATATTCGTCGGTTAATGAGCATATGATTTTCTATATATCCATAATGCACATTGATGGATGAAGATGTATGCTCGGTATGCCAACGGAGGAATCAACGGCGTAGTAAGCAAAACGGCGCAGAAAATAGAGAAAAATACCCTGGACCAGTTTGGCTCTTATTTTTTCTCTCCATATTTTGTTTCGGTTGGACAAATGAACGGTGTTAATAATGACATTGGCATTAGGCTAAATGCCGTTGAATGCATATGAAAAAAAAAATAACAAATTCCATCATTATTATTCAATAATATATAATGACATAATAATAATAAATACGGGGAAACACAGGGATCGCCGCTTTTGCTTAATGCAAAAAAAAAGTGATCGGTCTATCTTATGGTGTGACATCTTCATTTGGGTTTCGCACATGCGGAAATGATTTCGATGCACAGAGAAAGAAAGAGAGAGAGAGAGAGAGAGAGAGAGAGAGAGAATGAAAAAAACTAAAACCGATAGACAATCGACAACATGATTTAAATCAGCAGTAACAAAGTACAGATTACCCAAATGAAATGTGAATCATAACAGGAACGAGACAATACAAATAACAATTCATAATCCAGAAGGAAAATCGACTCACTCAATTATCACGCCATTGTCACACATACGAAAACAACAAAACCGATCTACCTGAATCGGCTTTTTTTCTCTCTCATTTAATACCTCGTTTTGTAACGAGTCATGAAATTTTGTTTCTGCTCACAGCATTTCAGCTGTGTATTTGTATTTATGTCCTATTTGATTGCCACCATAATCGTGACTATGCTATTCCAATGGAACTCTGTGTGTTTTCTTTTTTTTCTGGTCTCGTTCTCTCCTCGCAACCCCTGTTCACCTTTGTTCCGTTCCGCTTCCACACATCGTTTTTATCCATTGACGGGATCGTTGATGGTTCATAGCACGTGTGCTATTATTAAATTGTCGATTGATGGTTCATTCCATTCAGTCGGATATGTGTGTGTTTTGCAGTTGTGCACCTCTCTCTCTCTATTCCTCATTGCTCCTTTCTTCTGTGCATTCTGTATGTCCCTATTTCATTTTTTTTCTCGATTCGTCATTGTTCTCGATCAACTGTTGTATTGCGTGTCGATACCGTTTTGCCGGGTTTTTTTCTTCTTCTTATTCTTCATCGCCTCTTTAAATTCCCCATTTCACAAAAACACATTTCGACTGCATTGTATTGATGATGTTGAAGTCAACCAGCAAAATAAACACATCTCGATGTGGTTATCTCGTTATATTGCCGGATTTGTGCATGGTTATTTGTTCGAAGAGGGTATTATTTTCAACTTTGACACCTCTGCGATCGCCTTGCATTGTGCATGTGTGTATTTTTTGTATAATTTTATGGCAACACATGTAAACAGCATCCGTATTGCCACTTCAATGCGATACCTTCTACAGATCGTAAAATCGAAATGAATGAATCAATTATAATGAAATCAATATTGCATTTTGAGCCCATATTAGCACGTTTCAATTCATTAATCAAGATATATTTTTTAAGCCCATGCATGTCCATGATTTGATTTCATTGACGATCACATTTTTTTTCTTCTCTTCGCGTCGCTTCGAGAGTAAATGTGAATTAAATTAATTGAAAATTTGTTGGCGCGTGTGTGTGTTACCAACACAAAGCAATTTCATCCATTTTGCACTTGACGGTCTCGTCTTTATTTACGATTTTTACATGGAGTGGCTGTTGTTTTGCCAAACAAATATCGGCGGCATGTAAACAACTGCGGCTTTTAGATGTAGCAAAAAGAGAGAAAAAAAATGATGAAAACATCATTTACACAACCAAGTCGAATAATGAGTAATGCGTTTTGTCAACGAGCCGATGAACAAAACAGCAGAAAAAGAAGAAGAAGAAGATCGCATACGACACGCATGATTGTGTCAACTGTTCGTTGCCCAAATCAAAACATCATTCCAATGGATTGTGATATTCCTTTCAGAAAAATTTCGGACAAACGAACCCAACAAACAAATAATCAACGTATTTCATTGTCGAAATGCGACCGAGTGAAGAAATAATAGTAAACAAAAAAAAAACCGCCTAACTTATTCTGTTATTATTATTTTTTTCTCTGCACTCTTCGGCTCTTTTCATTCGCATCGTTGGTAATGTGTGTGCTCGAGGCTTTAAGATTATGACATTAACAAACCACATTTAAATCGATAATTGTTGCTAATTGGAAATTAATAGGTTCAGCAAATTTTGGAAAAATTTCGTGTTTTTTCATCGCCGAAAAGGCGACGAGCTATCTTTTGAATACAAATACGAGGGGAAAAAGAGAATTTTGAAATTGATTCATATTAATAACACGATAAAACCACATTTTCGATGCGGTCAATCGCTGAATGGAATAAATTGCAAATTTATATGTGAATTGGCGCCGGAATGTTCAAACGAATGATTTCTCTTCTCTCTCTCTCTCTCTCTCTCTCTCGACGTCAGTGCTTAAAAGCGTGACATTTTGATACTGATTATAGCTTATTGTGCCTTGCACAAACTTTCACAAACATGTGAACGAAAGACAAAAATGTTCAATCAAAATTCAATTCAACAATGGAAATGACTCGTTTCAAACGATAGCCACATGACTTGAATAATCAGACAAAAAAAAAATTCGTTCATAATGAGAACGAATTCGGGTATGCCGGAAATAATGGCATGGAATTTAGTCGCAATTTACGGATCGGGTCAATCTTGAGAATAAACGAAATTAGTAAATGTAATAAGGATATTTTTGTGAATATCCATGAAAAAGACAAGATGAGTTTGAAAGGAATGCCAATTTAAACGAAAAAAATGCCATCAACATCCAGCTCTGAGAAATTTCGTTACGATTAGCTTGCATATTTGTGCATAATAAATAAGATGTCGTTCCTTATTTTTCTTACAACAAACACACACTCACACAGCTGGTTTGACTTGTTTCCATTGCAGGACAATTGATTCTTTCGGATTTGTGTTCTGGTTTTCGTTCTTCTTTCATTGCTCTCTTTTGTCGCACAGCTTCATTTTTCCAGTTTGCATATTCACGATTATCCGCATCGTAATTCCTGTTATTACGTAAGCGACGAGAAAAACTGTCGCAATTATCAGTTGCCGATAATTGAGCTGCCTCTTATTTTCTCCTCAACTCTTTTTCCGGCTGCGTCAATTCATGTCTGACATCCGTATTTCCACACAATCTTTGTGGAATGTGCATCTTTTGCTTACTCGTTTGTTTTCGTTTTATCTTTTTCTTTAAAATGGGGATGAATCTTGAAATGTATGAGAGAGAGAGAGAGAGAGAGAGAGAGAGAGAGAGAGAGAGAAGTGGCTCCGTTTAAGAATCAAGTTTCCGAGACAACATAATCAATATAATTTTTATAACAATTTCCCATTTTACATTTGAATTCAATAACTCGAAGTGGACGAACGTATAACAAAATGAAGGTACGACTTGTTCTTGCGCATCGACTGCTGATGCTGCTTTGTCTTTTTTCCCATTGCAAATGAATTGACAATTCTCATCAATTCTCTCTCCAATTTGTTTCCTTCTTTTTTTTTTCATCACAATTCCGAACCCGATGAATCGAGATGCATTAAATAATAATGATGATCATTCACTTGGAATCTCTGGCTGTTTTGTTTGCTTGTGTGGAAATAGAAAACAATAAAAAAAAGATGAGAGGAAAATATGAGCAAACAGGCTTTAATATGCATCGTCTTCACTTATGTTCGTTCAGCAAACAATAAATCTGGCGTTTCGTTTCCCCATCCAATTTCGCTTTTTCACACCAAATCGCTTGACCGAAACGCAATCACATTATCGACTAAACGAGTTTCCAGTTCGCGCGTATCTTTTTCAATATTTAAATTTTCAATCCACATTTTCGACGCATATTCCAAAACAATGGAGAACAAAAGATGATCAAAAAAAAAATATCAAAAAATCCAAGTGAGAAAAAAACGTGGTACGTCGGTTGGAAATTCCTTTTGCCGTTATTCAATTCTCGATTTTGTTGTCGTAAGATTATTGTCTGCGTTTGTGTTCAACGCCGAGCGCGTTTTGTCAATATTTATCAATTCGACTTTTTTCCCATTGCGACGGGCGTCGCTGTGCTTTTTTCCCATTGCTTTTTATCTGAGCGATAAATTTGTCGTAGCATCAGCTTTGTCCACCTTTTAGTTTTCGAGCACTTTTCATGAAAATTGAACTTATTTACTCCAATCCATGGTAATGAAGTGTTAATGCTTCATACATTGGAAGAAAATAGATCAGATACATATTTGTCGAAAAAAAAATTGAATGAAATTGTAATTTGGAATTGCATTCAATGGAAAAGTTCAAACATGGCCAGCTATTTATGCTCGGTAATTGGTTCAGTCTTTCATACATTAGCGCCACCGATTAGCATATATATTGAAGAATGGACTTATATTGAGATGCCAATTAATAGATACATATATGTGGATAGCAATGGATTGTGTTAAAATATTTTTATGTTCACAACTTATTCTTTACAAACTCTAATATTAAATTGATTTTTCTAATCATTTTCCTATTTTTTCCTTCAATTTTTCAGTTATACGAAATCAGCGATGAACCAAAGCGCAAAGAATTTTTAGATGATCTTTTCCATTTCATGCAGAGACGAGGTAAGTAACTGCAGTTGAATATTCTTTCACGCAAATATCCAGCCATCGATCAGAGGCTATGCTAAATATGACAATTTTGAATTGAAATTGAAATTGAATACAGACACATTGAATTTGAATCATTTCCGTCTTTTGATTGTTATTCATGTGCTCTGTGCGAGTGAATTTTAGTTATGTATCGAGACAAGAAGATGAGTAAAGGTCACTGAGATCAAGAGAAATCAAATGTGAAAAGAATATTTTTTTTATTCACTTTTACGAACTTTATCATGATCGTCGAATCGATAGGTCATCATACAATCGCGGCCATTTCATTGAAACCGATTTTCATTCAAAAGATGATAATTTTTTGTCGTATTTTTATTGAAATATACGTATGAATAACACAACGTATGTGTAATACGTGTATTAAAAACGGCATAACAAAGAATGATAGAGAAGCCTTGATTCTGTCGAACCATTAAAAATGCATCGACACGATCATCGTTGAATATGTTGACTTAATGCCTGCAATTGATAATTTGCACCAATTTAATTTAGCTGACAAAGTAGATACGCATCAATCTTGGAGACAATAAAAATTTACAGCTTTTCAATGGCGTTAAACGTAAATTTCAATTGTCTGATTGATCAAAAAATCAACTCTTTTACAAATGAAAGATAAAACAAAATAATTACATAACAAATCGATTGATGTACTTCAAAGCTCTGAATTTTGTTCAATGAACGAATCGTCGTCACTCCTTTTCTACAAATTCCATCTCGTTGTTTATCATTTTGTTTTTTTAATCCATTGAGCAGCCAATCGATGTGTAGTGTGAAGGCGAAAAATAAAAGCGAGAGAGACTTTTCTGCCTACACAATGAAAATGTTTGAGATTGATCCGTGCTGTCGATACACACAATTGAATGTGATTCTCGATTTCCATAAATCACAAATGAGCACGTCTACACACAGACACACGAATGAAAATACAAATAAAAGAATAAATAAACGGCATTTGAAAGTGATTGAAAGAGAGAAAAACAACCGATCGAAAAATAGATTCGAACGATGAAAAAAAAAGAAATATCAAATGAACCGATATTGGCTTGGTTGATTTGGTTGATTTTTCTATTTTGGATTTTTTATTAATAGCCAAAGCCATTAGATATTGTGTCACTTTATGATTAATTCAATGCAGTATATTTCCGTTTGACATTTGATGATTAACACATGTTTGTCTTCGTAGCCGATCGCTCGCTCACTCGCTCGCTCACACATTCTCGTCAGTCAGTTCTAGGTAAAACGAAGAAGAAGAGGACAAAAAAAGCGACGTCAAGATGGAAACAAAATCGGAAAAATGAACAAAATAATGATGAGTGTATAATTAATGTTTACGTGTACCACAAATGTCAGATGCGCGAGGCAAGCACATTGCTTATGACACAAAATATGGCAAACGCGAAAATGTGTAGCTCGCGCTCACGCACCCGCGTCGTCACTTCTTGTCGTATGTTCTCTCTCTCTTTTTTTTTATTCTGTATGTCTCTAGTCTATGATGACGATTACAACGCGAACAAGAAGCAAAAATAAACAAAGAAATGCGGAGCACACACATCAATCGAAAGGAGACTCGAACATCGAATAAAGATCATTATGTGGCTGTCACCTTTCAGATGATGAAATGCTTGTGTTTGCACCGCAAATCGATTCGGCTGCATTTTCATCGGGAGGTCATTGTAGCAGTGCTACAACCACCCTTGTAAAAGGATCCTTGGAAGTTGCAGAGATTTTTGTATCTCATGAGAACTTTATCAAAGTCATTTGACTCATCAAGGACATGCCAAGGAAATTCCTGAATAACAATTACCATCATCCAGGTCATTCGACAACGATCAATTTTCATGGCGAAGCAACAGTTACCAAAACGATGAAAAAAGAAAATAACATCAATAACTTGACGGTCGATATTAGTATGAAAAAATTAACCAACTCAAAAGCGGCGACGAAAAAAGCCGGCCATGCTCCAACGTAACGATAATTATAAACTGCGTAGATTCATGTATTAAAAACGGTAATGAAAGCATAATGATGTGGATTCGAATTTAAATTTCGGATTCTCGGTCGCCTTTTACCCCATTTGTTGCGATGGCTCAATTCGGTTGTTGGCATGGTTAAAATTTCAAAAAGTGAAAAGTGATATTTTTCTTCTCCGCTTTTTTCACTCTCTCTCTCTCTCCCTCCTGCTCTCGAATTTGTTTTATCTTCGACGGGTTTTTCGTCATATTTTTATACGTACACACACTTTACACTTGTATGCTGCCACAAAAACTATTTCAATTTCTTTCAAATTGATTGACATCTATGTTAACAAAAATGACTCATGGCTTTTCGTTCATGTCGTTATTTTGTTGGTTCTTTTCATTATTTCGTTGCCCTATTATTCCATTGAGCTACTGTGTTCAGTGTATTATTTCTCGGTTTTGTCGACATTGTTCCGTTCTCTCAACTTCCAAAGGAATGTTTTTTCTCCTCGTCTTTCCTTTTTCTCTCTCTCTCTCTCTCTCCCTCTCTCTCTCTCTCTCTCTATTGATATTTCAATGGCTGTGTGTGTGTTAACAGCCATATAAGTTACTCGATGTTGTGCGCGCTGTGTGTGTTTGCATTTGCGCTGATCCAACACCAACATATTCGTAATTATAATTCGATCGGCGGAAACGATCAGCACACCAAAGCGCACAACGATTCGATTCTTGAATATGAAATAACAAAATAACGAAAATGATGAAGAATAAGAAATCGCAGTCTTCGAACGATGCACGACGAAAATAGTAGGAGCAAGACTTTGACATACGAGAAAAATCACGGATCAAAATGTGTGAAATAGCGGAAAAGAGAAAGTAAGAGAACAACAGAAGAAGAAGAAGAAAAAAAAACTTACCGAGAACGTTATATATATCGTTAAAATTAGATTAGAATTTTTCGGTGGTAGTTAATGAGCAAATGAAAACAAAGAGATGATTAAAACATGAAGTATTTTCCTCGTAGCCGTCAATATTTTGACATTATGAAAATTTCCACGATGTGAATAAAAACGCGTGCAATATAGGCGCAGGCGAAGAAGTTAACGTACATGCGAGCGCTAGCTCGCTCGCTCGCCTCAGCTCAAGTGCCTCTGTGATGGTTGACTTTTTTAAAAAGTACTCAATCATTTTGGGAAGTTGATAACATTTCAAGCTGTAATGCCGAATCATGCGAGCCGATGTTAGTAGTTTTTTCCCTGCCTCCTTTCCGTCACTTCATCGGTTTCGGAGAATCGAAAAGTCATCAAGCCGCGGTTGTGTCGGATGTTCAATGTGTATAGTTATTTTCATTATTTTGTCTATTCAAGTATCGGTATAAAAGGAATGTCGCGTGTTTTCGCTCCTTTGCGAATGGATGTGCGTCTTCTCTCTATTGATGTGACTCTTCTATTCAGCGATTGGACAGCGCTTAAAATAAATATAATATTTCGATAATTAATCGTCTCGTATTGCCGAACATTAACCGGGCGGCGATGGTGGCTGTGTCTGCTGATGTTACTTGAGTGATTTGCCGTCGTCTTAATTTTCCGCTTTCTCGTCCTCATTTGATGGCTGCTCTTCGATCACATTCTATTTCTCGAAATTCAACAGCCGATTGGTGTTTTTTTTCTCCTCTAGTTATTCACGCGCGTTTTGGTTCGATTGAATTGTTTCGTTGTCGCTTTTCATGACATCACAGCCAGACACCTTTCCTTTTTTTTCGTTCTAATGATCATCATTTTCTTCAATTTATGTCGAATATCAGTCGAGTGCGTAAATCCAACAAATGAAATACATTTCGGATGTTTTCTTCGCTTTTATCTTTTTTCTTTCTTCGGTTCCTTGACAGAGCGCACTTTCCATTCAATTTGACTAACTGAATATGAGCGCGCAATATGCGCGCGAATGGGTGTCGTATTCAACCGACAATTCCGAACACGCACCGCCAAAAAATCTTGACGATTGATTTCTTAATTTAGATTTGATTTTATTATTGTTTTTCAATAAGCGAACGCTCTACTCCGAACAAGGAAAGCGTACGTAGTAACGAGGATGACGACGATAACGACTACAATGAATCGAAATTTTTGAATGTTTCAAGCAACCAAATGAACAAATTGAGGAAAGAAAAAAAGCAACATCAATTTGAATGCAGAGAAAACATGATGTCATACATCACATCACCCGCTCTCTCTCTCTCATCGAATTGCGGTTGTTGTAATGCTTTCCCTGAAAGAAAGCAAGAAAAAAAAACTCGTACAAAGCAATGACGAATGCACGCTCCGAGATTAATTACATGGAAATATCAATCATTACATTTTGCGTTTTCATTTCGAATGCGAGCGCGAGTCCGCTCAATTTCGTATTAATACAACGAATTTATTAAAGAAAAAAAGTTCAATGCTGTCGTTTGTATTTTATTTTGTACGACGGTATTGTGAGTATTTGTCCTTTGTTTCCATTGGGCACACCCAGAGCCAAAACAACGGCGAAAAGCGAAAGAGAGAGAGAGAGAGAGAGAGAGAGAGAAAGAGAGAGAGAGAGAGAGAGAGAGAGAGAGAGAGAGAGAGAGAGAGAGAGTGGAAAAAAGGTGCTTGTGTGTCGAGCTCACAAACCGAAAAAAGCGAGTGTTCGTACATAAATTTCTGATTTTCGTCTTTAATTACAATTTTATGACCGTCCGTTGGCAAACACACACTCTCACGCACACAATCACATGAATGTATAGAATGAAATTGCCGAGTCGATGATGTGATGCAAGAAAATATGTCAATTAAATGCAATATGGTTTTTCTTCGTCGTTTTTATTTTCGATTTTGAATTCATCGTTTGTTCTTTACGAGCTTTTGTTTTTATTTCGTCGGTTCGTATATCGGTTATTTTCCCCATCGCCTCGTCAGGGTGACAAATAGTAAAGTTGTGATTTTATGCACGCGATTTAATAGATATTTCTTAGGTTGCCATTCGTCACTGGTCATAAATGCAACCAAATCCTACAATCTAGTCAAAACACATACACGAACGCAACGTACATTGTCCGAATTGAAATTAAGTGTGTGCGAATCAACCAAACATCATTGCAGTCGTTTGAATTTTAATTTAAAATTTGCATCGTGCAAAAGTTGTGGTGGCTATTTTTTTCTGTCTTTGTACAATTTTCAATGATCGCATTAAAAACTGAATTACTGCTAAGCGAGAGAGACACAGAGAGTGCGACTGTAATTGATTTGTCTAGAGAAACGATATTAAGCACGTGCACTTTTATTATTCATATTTTTTCGAATCGAACGTTTCGTTTGTGAAATGTTTACGACGATGTGTGTTTTGTTTTTCCGCTGCTTTTGGCAAGCACTAAAATCGATTAATTTCATCTACAAACGAAAGGCGATTACATTGTCTGAGAATTTTGTTTAGCTGAATTCGATTGGTGATCGTAGCGCTCTTAACCCTCAACTGCATAAGCCCGCCTTTTGGCGGGCATCATTTAAACGCCTGTATAATGTGAATCGTACGTCGGATCACATTGCTTCAAGGGGAATTTTCATTTGTCAATGTTTTTTCTTCATTTTTGTCCTTTGAGCTATTTGTCTATGTAGTACGATTGGTGAATTATAAATAAAAATGTGCACGAAAACGAAAATTTGACAAAATAAATTATTTGGATCACACGTTAGACAAATTTTTGACACTTTTAAACAATGGATTTGATTGTTCTATGATTTATGTCAATCGCATTTTCTGACCAAACCATGAGGAATCCAGGATTTTGAATATTTTTTTCGTTATCTATGGCCAAAAATCAACCAATTACCAGTACTCGCAGTCCTGGGAAAAATTCATGCAGTTGAGGGTTAATTATTTTGGCCGTTTAATTCAAAGGAATTTCTTAGCCATTAAATTCACTCAACGCTCATCGTTTTGATTCGAATGATGCACCTGTGAAATCATTGGATCCTATCATGCTGAACATTTTTGATGGTGGAATTGTTTTTTTCTGCATTGAATTAAGCCGTTTCTTCTGTATTTTCGACTGAGAATTGTAATTTTTTTCTCAACTGGTCGTAAATCAAAACCACATAAAAAGGAGTTAGTTTCCTGGATCAAACATGAATTGAAGCCAGTTGTTGTTTTTTTTTTTTTGGAACATTCGAAAATGATATCAGTAAAATCATTCAATTTATTTTTGATACAAAACGTATCATGAAGAGTATGAAAAGAATTTAATGGAAAGAATGTAGGAGTATTTATAATAGAGAATCAAGTCATTTTCACTCTACAACACTCGGAAACTGATCCGATCCGAATCCATATGCTACAGAAGTGATTACGAACGATTCAATTCAAAAGCAATCGGCTCAAATACGAAGCGTACGGGCGAAATTAAATGGGTCGTTTATGTGTGCGCGCGCGCTCCTACACATTCTATGGCATGTATGTGTGAGTACATTTCTTTCGCCGCTACTTTTCCATTAAATGTTCTGTTTAGACGTGAGCCCTTCACCGGGCTCACACTAATCAATTTATTAGATGTTTATAGATTAGAATCGAGCGCTTCATCTTATCGAGAGCTGGGAAAATGACGAATAGCCAAGAAAATGCACCCATTGAAATGGCAAGACAATACATATATACAGCATGGGGTTTTCATCTGCACTCTGAACGCCAATTCTGTCTTTTCTCCTCTCTGTGTTTTATATCGGTGTGTAATCAACGGGTAATCCAGCGTTAGATACTGGTCATTTTGTGTCATGCTGTGTGCATCGATAGTCATCGCCAAATGAAAAACCGAAAAATATGATAAAATCGGTGTGTTTTTGCTGTCGATTCTTTCGAAATCGGCTTATACATATCGATCTATTTCGGCCGTTTAATCGTATCAATTTCGAGCGGCAATCAAAATAGTGAAAGATTTATCGTGAGAGCTTTTAAACACATAATTAAATAAAGAGCGCGTGCATATACACGCATTCACTGAGTCACTGTGATGAGCCTGTGTGAAACAGCTCTTATATGCGTTTGCGATAAATATCTCGATCACATTCATCACGATCTCAAGCGAGGCATTTTCATTTTGAAATGTACACAAAAAATAAATCAATGTGGAAAGCAGATAATTCCACATTTCACCCGGCATATAAATCAAATGCGAGAGAGACTGAGCGACGAGAGCCAAAGAAATGAAAGAAAAAAAAATGCGTGAACATTTGAAAACCAAGACAGAATTAATCACCGCAGAACGGGTCGCGAATCAAAAAAATAAAACAAATAAAATGAATACAATGAATTTATCATGTGAAAAATTCTCGAACCGTGGTTTTTCCTTTATCTCTCCGTTTCTCTCTCGCTCTGTCTGTCTGTTCCGGCCGATTATTTTTCACATTTTGCGCGCCTCACGCATCGTTCGCGCGCGCGCCATGACAACACGTTCCGTGGAATGATGATTTAAGTGATTGCGCGATAAATTCAGGCTCATTTTCGAATTATAAATAACGCCGTTTTGCTTGATTTGTGCTGGCACTGTCTTCATTTTGGCCCGTTGCTTGTTGTACGTGTGATAAATACGATGAAAGTTTCTGATCCCATTAGTGACAAATTGTGTGATATAAAAATTCAAATAAAAATGCTTGGAAAACATCAGGCGATGAATGAAGTGCGAGGCGACAAATATTTTGACATGAAATTTAAAGATGAAGACGACGACGACGACCAGAAAGAATGAAATAAGATCAAAATTTTCACATATTTCACCCGGGATAGCAGCGGCACAGCCACCATTGTCAAAGTCTATTAAAATTGGGCGCGATGTGAATCGCTTCCGAAATATAGCCATCAAATTAAGTCTCGCATCCGACCAAAAAGAACTGTCGCTGACACAGTAAATCATTTTGCCGCGATGTGAAACTACGTGTTGTCGCTGGCTGTTTTATTGTTGTTGCTCTTTCTCTCTCTCTCTCTCTCTCTCTCTCTCTCTCTCTCTCAGCCTCTCGCTGTTATATCTTGTTGATCACGTTGTTTGCCCCCTTGCTTTAATACGTGGAAACAAATTGGCGCTAAAAATATCGAATAAAATTCGAATGAAAATCAAAAAAAAAAAAAAAAAATTCATACATATTCGACTGACTTTAATTTATTAGTGTTGTGTTCAATCCACCTCCGGAATAAAAAACAAAAAATTACATTAAGCTCTTGTGTCAAGAAATTAGAGAAATTAATTTCAGGTTCTTTTTTTTTTCTCATCGTCTCTCACAAATTTCAACGACAAATAAACAGGCATCACCAAATAGAAAAACACAAATAAATAATTTGCACTCAAATCGTGTTCGTTCTATCGGTGGTCCGTCTACTCTGCATATTAGCAAACAATGTATGCTATGTGATCTCACATTCAGCTCATTTCTCTCTTCCAATGCCTCTCTACCTCAAACTCTCGTTCATACTAGTTGATGACTTGTCTTGTGCTCCACATATTTTTTCAAATAAGTGTACAAGTACTTCCATCAAATGTTCATCCAAAAAAGAAAGGAACTGAAAACACGACGAAGAAGAGCATGGAACAAAAAGTATGTTTTTATGCAAGCAATTAACCCGAGATATTTCGAGAAATACTTCAATAAAATCGTAATTTTCATTGCGTAAAGGAGGAATGAGTTGAATGCATCGAGAGAAAATTTCACAGTTGTACTGACTCAATAATATAAATAAACCTAATAAAATCGTTAAATTTGGATAGAAATGCCTATATAAACCGATGATGAAAAATATAAAATGAACATTATGCGTGTTATATGTGCAAACCGCACAACCCGAACATTATTGGTCGCATCACATCGTCGTCGTCAGGCGGTGATGACGACCATGTTTCGTGTGTTCGTCATTGCGATCTGTTGTGTGTGCCCGCCACGATCTCATCTCATCAAATCTCTCTCTCTCTCTCTCTCTCTCTCTCTCTCTCTCTCTCTGCCGCTCTCTCTTAAGAGCACATATTCGAAATGCAATTAAAACACCAACCATTCAATATAAAAGTACCCGGTTAAAAATAGTCCTGAAATTGCCATCATTGAGGCAATATGCCATACATACATTGCTTGCGACGCGCAAGCACAATAATTCCATTTTGCGTGTAGAATGTGTTTGTGTTTTGTTTGTCAATGCATTTCACATTTCCCTTCATATCTCTCTCTCGTCTCTACATCGGCATCGTTTCATAGGAACTGTCGCATTCATTTGTCTCAGTAGTTGTTCGATGCGTAATAGCAACAAAACCGCATCTGAATCCACATTTATAACATTTAAATGATTCACACACACGCATTTCTCTTTGTTCAATCTGCTTTTCTCTCCTTTTCTCACTTGCACTTGTCATATTATAGCATATGCAGACGTTTGGCACATTTCAGACAGCATAACAAAAAAATCGAGCAATTTGCGTGACATTTTAACAACTGTTTTTGTTTTTCTCTCTCAAATTTTACTAATTTTTTTCGTTTTCTCATTTTCATAAATCGCTTAGGTACTCCCATCAATCGGTTGCCAATCATGGCCAAATCTGTGCTGGATTTATACGAACTGTACAACTTGGTGATAGCCCGTGGCGGTCTCGTTGATGTTATCAACAAGAAATTGTGGCAAGAAATTATCAAGGGCTTGCACTTACCATCAAGCATTACTAGTGCTGCCTTCACACTCCGAACACAGTAAGTGCCGTTTATTTGTAATTCGGATTGGATTAGATTTTATGATTATTTCGATGTCATTTGCGTGTGTATTGCATTTAATGGAACAACGACAATAAGAAAAAAATCATGTCATGTGGGCTAAAAGTAAGGCGTTGTAATGGAACGATTTTATATTAAAATGATCATCAAGTTAATTGAAGTGATTAGCATAATTTATGTTAATTACATCAAGCATACCAAATCAAGTCGGTGTAATGTCAAAGGACTTTTCTCGAATCTTTTGCCATCTGGAAGAAAGAGCCGCCTAATGTCATCAAGCGGCACAGTCCAAATTTTCACTTGAACATCATTTTCAATTACACCGCTACACGCAGATTCATTCACGTTCAGCAAACAATGTCTCACCACTTTGTGTGATTCGAGAGTAACAAATCGCATTTCTTCGGGTTCCACTTTAAAAATTATGCGACCCACTACGCGACTAAGTGAATTAAAATTGTAAATCAAACAAAATGCTCAAATAAACATTAAATATTAATGGGGTTATGCACGTTACGAACGTAAATTTCCGTTGGTTCGTTTTTTTTTTCTTCAACACGGATCTTCATCGGCGTGATTTGTTTTGTTTTTTTTTTTTAAATTCTTAAACACAGCAACAGCCGAACAGAAGAGGGAACCAAAAATCACAAAACACGTATGAGGAATTCGAAGAGTGTTTTATTTTCGGTGAACATTTCTGTGTGTTGTTTAGCAAATTGAAAGCAATTCATTTGAGAAGAGTTTAAAGTGTCGCCCACTCAAGGATGAAACATGTGATGATTGCACATTTTGCCTATTGTTCAAATGGTGTTCAGTGTTCATCATTAAAAACCTCGCCCAGTTCATAATGTTCATCATTTAACTCTCGACAAAGTATTTTCCAATTAATTCCACAGCGACTATGTTGCACACGATTCGCGCAATAATAATGTGCCAGTGAATTTTTCCACCTGTCATAATTCATTTCCGAACTGCATATTAATACTGTGCGAATAGATGATCATATAAATGCGAACCAACCTTAGATATATAAAACATTATGTGCATTCGAATAAGCAAATTTAAATGCTCAATGCAATAAAATTGGTGTGTTTTGTTTTTAATATTTGGTCACAAAGTATCAAATGTGCAAAACATTCCGCGCCTAGAGAATCGTTTGTTGAGCGATGTGGTTTGCATCCCCAACACACATATACACACAGCCAAAGACAACATTGTTGCTATTTATGTCCGTTTATTTGGTAATAAATAAAATAAGTGCTATTTTGTTGTTGTTGTTGTTGCGAGGGGCGGATTTCTACCGTCTTTTCCCATCTTTATATATTTTTACAATTCAGCTATCGAAAGGCACGGCACACAAATGAAAAACAAATCAAATAAACAATTTACGCGAAGCAATTAAAAGCAGAAGAGAGCGAGAGAAAAAACAAGTAACATGAAGAAAAACATGCATCATTGTTGTGCAACAAAAGCGGAACAAAGCCGATCATCTCCATTTTAAAAACCGCAACGGCAGGGCGGCAGATAGAGAGGAAAAGAGCGAATTGGGCAAGCATTTTGAAAACTGACTGAAACCATCGCTGTGAATGGGCGAGAGAGAAAGAGTGAGAATGGTCGCGGCCACATGTGCATCGCTGCATAACCGTTTCTCATGGCGATGTTATTTCTTCGACATGGATGAGTGCATCCGCACCAAAGTGAAATGCATCTAATCGTTGTTTGTCTGTGTGCGCGCCTATGACTGTGTTTGTGCCGTATTCGCGCGTCGTTCGGTTCGGTCGGTGAACGGCGCGCACTCTTTTTTTTCTCTCTCTCTCTCTCACACACACAGAACTAATGTCAATATTGGTGAGTTATTCGCGGGACGGTATGTATGATGTTTATATGCCGACCTCTCGCAAATGAATTACGATGCAAATAAATGTCAATAATAAAAATGCAGTCAGCAATAAAGTGTTTAAAAAGGTGCGCATATCTATAAATGATCCGATTGTAAATGCAAGCTTACGGTTTCAGCGCAAAAATCCTTTCGGGGTTGACGGGCAGAGTCTCTACTACACAAAGAGAGAGAGAGAGAGATAGAGACCACAATTTTATACGAACGCTTCCATCAAAGCATCGTCGTCGTCATCGTAGTCACACAGAAATGACTGCGAAGCGAAGAAAGGAAAAAAAAGTATTCACGGCAAAAACTCATTCAACGAAAAACTATAGAAATATTTTTCTTCTGTGTACTCCGTTATTTATTTCGAATAAATTATACGCTTTTGGTGCGAGGCAAACAACGATCTCTTGTTGAGCCGCAGCCATTTTGCCAGCGTTTTTTATAAAATGCTCTCTTCAACTTTTTTGATGTTTTTTGTTTTTTTGTACCCTCCCCCCTCAGCTCGGAATACATTCATTCGATACAAATATGAAAATGATCATTTTTTATGCGCTTGCACGTACGACGGGCCGCCTCATGCGAAACTCATTTAAAGTACTTTTACTTCGAAATAATATGTCGAAAAGGATTACAGCATTTATTGTTTGGAATTTTCTGCACTTGCATTCGAAGCAAAAATACACGTCATATCGGTTGATAATTATGTCTTCAACATTCCGATTACATCAGCTAATAAATTGTTGATAATATTACAACAACAAAAAAATTGACATTAATTATAAATTGTCCAATTGGCCAATTCTAACTATCAAATGATGTTAGGCACGTACGATTCGCATTATTTTGGATTTTTCTTCTTCGCATCGTATCAACAACATTTGTTCGAGTCAAAATAGTCATCGTGTATGCTTGTCGTAAAAAATGAACTTTTTTCATCTGCGACACTATATATTCTTTATGGATGCATAAATTCATTCACTTTTCTTTAAATTTATGTAAGTGTCTCATTTCAATAAAAATTGACGTAGGAATTGGAGCGGCAAACCAGAGCCATTCTGTATACAATTGTTAATAAACAATATTGCAATATCAGCATAAGCTCACCATAATTTATCCGAAGTGCAGTTTAAATACCATAAGTGTTGATCATTATTGTGGCTTTTTTTTTGCTTTGTACACCGATCAGTTGACATTGTATTGCCGCGAATTATACCGAAGAAATATCGGTAGACACAACTGTGTGATTGATTTAAATGTTGCGTTTTGCTAGTTCAACGCGCTCTATATTTTTCAAACCGCAAATAGTCCATTCACTGCAGTACGGTATCCCCATTGTGTTCGTTAATCTTTCAATTCTGCATAGTTATGCGTTGAATTATTTGAATGGATAAAATGCGTTTGCTTCCTTTCTCATAATAAAATGCTCTTTTTATTTCCCTTCTACTAGGTACATGAAATACTTGTATCCATATGAGTGTGAAAAGAAGAATTTAAGCACTCCGGCTGAACTACAAGCAGCCATTGATGGAAACCGCCGTGAGGGAAGACGTTCCAGCTACGGTCAATTTGATACACAAATGCAAGGGCAACTCCAACAATTGGTAAAGAAAAGATTCATTTTTACACAGTAAACTAAATTGATAAGCGAAATTGTGCTAATTTGATGTCAACGTTTAATCCAGCAACAGGTACAACGGTCACCATTACCAGGCGGTCTACAACAAATGTCTCCATTGTCATTGGTATCGCATGGTGCCACACAAAATTCACATCACCGCTTGCTCGGCAATCAACAAATGGGCTTGCTGCCAAACCAAATGTCGGATCTTTATGAGTATTTCAAACTTTTGCAACAACCAAAAGAGGCTGCACGTAAGTGTTTCATCGTTACAAAATCCATGAGTTTGATAAGTCACTTTTGACAAATGAAAATCCAATCAAACCAAATTCATTTCAATTTAAAGGTCCACAAAGTCCAGATTGCATTCGAGCTGATACATTAAACGCATTGGAAATGTCACGCGTTGCACTTTGGTCAATGTACAATAATAATACCAGCCCACCAACGTCCAATAACACAACTAGTCCACCCAACAATGAACCACAAAGGTAAGTATTACATTTTAATCACTTCCCTCTGTTTCGAAGAAAAGAGAGACCACACTTAACAGCATCCATCTCATTTACAGAGAGGCATTGAACCTAACCGAATCACCAACACATGGAATTAAACGTGAACGAGACACCGGCAATGATTTTGATCGTGAGGAACGTGACTATGTGCTGCCATCAAAGAAAGTCGCTCTACAACAATTACACTCACAGTTGCAACAGTCCCAACGCGTTTCACCGCACAACCATTACAATCATGAGCATCGTCGCCGTTCTGAAACACCTCCGTCGCCAAATCATCGTAATCGGTCAATTGAACGTGATGAACATCGAAATGGCCTATTGAGTTTTCATAATAGCCAAAATCATTCATCATCACGCCGGCACATGTCCGCCTCACCGCCATCGTCAAATCATCGAAATGGTACAAATAATACAAGTCATAATGGCAGCAATGATCTCCTCAATGCCTGCAGTCCACTCGCACTTCTGTCTGGCATGCAATTCAAATTGTTTAGCCGAGGTAAGTTGAACGCTGAATTCGAACAACTTAATTTGATAACCGGAATTCGGTGGTTTCGAACTTGAATTATATACTTGAACATGGTATCTGAATTTACTAAAAAATTAACTCATTCTCTGGATCGTTTTCTTTTTCAACAGGTTCCGAATCGGGTGAACAACAATTGGTTGTTTCAATGGAACTGAATGGTGTACAATATGAGGGTGTTCTATTTGCGAATCGTGTAAATGCAGCCCAATCAACGAGCCCAACATCATCACCACCGTGTACACCAAGCAAAATCACACCGACCACCACATCGAGTGGTGCGAGTGCCAGCAGTCCGATGGTTGAAGACAGGCCGAATCGTGGTGTTCCAACGGTTACGCGTCCATTAGTTTCATCTTAAATTCGAATCGTTCGAATGAATTTCATAATTTTCGTATGCGATAGCTCCAATTCGCTGAGAGAGGGAGAGAGAGAAAAAATCAACAATTAATTAGTTATTAACTTTGACAAGTTTTCAAACTTAACGTAGTAATTTAGGGATGAACAACAACAACAACAACAAACAAAAAAAAACAAGAATTACATTTAAATAAAAAAGCATGCAATTAAATCATGATGATAGGTCTATAAGGTTGGATAAAGAAACCATTCGAACAAATATATGTTTCGAAGTGCATACACAAGCTCGATAAGCAGAAAACCGTAGTACTAGCAACATCAGCAGAAGCAGATGCAGCAGCAGCATCGAAAGAAGTTATGACATTTTTGATCTTGCTTTGCGTCATGTGTTTATTTTTCAAGCAATTCAAGTAGCGTTTCAGTAGTTTAAAATAGGTTTGTTTAAATGTTTGTACCGCATTAATGTTCTTACAAATTTTCTTTTTCTCCATTCTGCTTTGATCTCGCGAGAAAAGAATTTACAAAACAATTGAAAACAAGACACATTTATCTTTATCATCGCCGCAAGAAATAAAAAAAAATCATTGTGTGAACTATTTTCCGTTCACATTGCTACACCACAAACGCCGAATCACAAGAACTATTAGTCAGGAAAATTAGAGATGAGTTTTTTTTTAATTTTTTTTTTATTCAGATGCAGAGAGAAAGAAAGAATTTACCGTGTAGTTAGTTTTGCTTTTCTATCAGGGAAGTTCAAAGAAGATTCGCATTCGGGTGTTTTTTTTAGTGTAATTTTTTTTTCTTTTCTTATGGTTTTATTTAAACATAATTGTTTTAATATGAGATACACATTTTCTTTTCACTGTTTGAATTCATTCAAATTCAATATTATTCATTATTATACTACACTGGACATTTACAAAAAAAAAATATAATGCTTTTGTCTCTATATTTCCTTTTTCCTTCTGTTTTTCTTCATAATTTTTTTTTCTTTTTTTGAAAAAAACCCAAATAAAACAGTAGTAAATGAAAAAAAATATTAAGCAGAGTATAGAAATTTTCTTCGTACTTTTATATTTGTAAGAAATTCAACTAAACTGACACTAAATATATGTATGTATATATATATAAAAAAAATCTATTTATCTTGTGCACTATAAAATTATAATGAGTAAATCAATTAAGAGACAAACAACAGAGAAAGTATGTGTGTGTTGTTATGACATTAAAATAACAATAAGCTATAAAAAAAAAATTTCATCGTTGAACAATTTGATGAAGAAAAAGAAACCGAAATCGTTGCTTTGCAATGAATGCAAAATGCTATATTATGAGATGCGAGATAAAAAAAAACATTTGCGACACAAAGTATCCTCAGAATATCATCATTTTTTCTTTCGTTTTGTATCTAACCAACAAAACCACATAAGTAGCTTGATATTTGTAAATAATTCCATGAACAAACAGCATATTACCATGTATGACAGACATGACTCTTTTTATTTTCCTAAACATTTTCACACATCAACCAATAGAAATGACATAATCAACTCTCGATCAATGGAAAACTAACCCGGAAATTTTTCGCATCCGAAAATGTGCATTTCAGTAGGACTAGAGCATTTTCATTCGAATAATTTCACCAGTTTTTTTTTCTTGTATTTTTCTTTCGCTACGACTAAATAAGACTGTTTCAATTGTATAATTTGTGTGTGCTTGGTGATTATTTCATGTGGTTTATTAATTAATTGGAAAAAAAATGTCTTTACATTTGTTTTGTGTTTGCTTTTTCTTTTGTTTCCTTTTTTGTTTGTTTTTTTTTGTGCAAAACAGTTTATGAACGTATAGAGAAAACACACACACAAACAGTTCAAGAATGAGCTACATAGCTGGCTCATCGCAGTTGTCCTTATTTTTTCTTATTTAATTCAGGGATTCCATTTAAAATATGATGCAAGACATTTTATACATTTGCACTTGAAGGCATTCTGCACCGCAATTTGCAGCAGATTTGAACAAAAGAACAAACACACAGATAAATACAATGGCAAACATAATAGCAAATAATTATAAACAAAAACGTAGACAAAGGTAACACACACACGCATCATTTTAAGCTAAATTTAAAAGAGAAGAAAAAAAAACATATTATAAATAAATATAGAATTACTTATTAGTTGAAGCACATGATTGAAATTGAATTGCAAAATTTGAAAGAAAAAGAAAATGACACTTAAGCACAGGCTGATTTTTATAATGCCGTTACGTTTGACAATTGTCAAATGATCGTTTAAACGATCGCATCACTGCAACTGAAAATCGAGAAAAAAGAACGCACCCTGTAAATCGATTGTATAAATTAGAGAAGAAAAAAAACGATAATAGAGTGAGAAAAAAAAATGAAGAAAAAAAAATGAAATGATTTCGTGCTTGTTTAAATCTCTTCTGGAAATTGTGTTCAATGAAAAATCAACACATTTAATACACACACACACACACACATGCATCATCATCATTAAGCATAACATAAACAACATAATATCGATGTATATTTCATGTCCGATAAAATAAGTACGTGGAAACGTTGTTTTTATTCCGAATTTCCATTTGAGATTTGTTCTTTTTTCTCAAACAGGCATCACACATCAATGACTAAGTAGTACCATTTAATGAAAAAAAAGAAGAAAAAACAAAACAAAAAACAACATCAAATGATGTAATAAAAGAAAAAAATAAGTGCAAAAGTATTGATAGCATCAAGCAAAAAAAATTGAAATAAAATCAAATAAAATACAGTGCAAATTATTCAGCCATTTGACAAATTGTAAAATGTCCCTGTTAACAGCATTCTATGTCGACCCACAAAACATGCTCATCAGCAGATTCAATGCAAACAAAATTAAAGATGTTTATGAATGATGTGAATTGAACGTGGTTGACATCGTGGTTGGAGTGGTGGCGGTGGCGGCGGCGGCGGTAACATAACAAACAGCACGATTTTTATTGCTTTCTTTTGTTTGTTATTCATTTTTTAGCATATTAGAGATGCGATGCGATTCAATCAATATTAGCATTATCGGGTCAAAGCAAAAGTGTGCGATTAACAGGGACCTTTTCCAATCTTCGTTCGACTGGATGCTACTTTAGTGAAAATTAATTTTATCAAAATAAAATTTGACGACAAAAAAAAATGAGAGAAAGTAAAATAAGGAGAAAATATTTGTTGACATCACTGAAGGTGAGAGAAAGCAACTGAATATTGAATAATAATAAGTTTATCAATGTTAGATGACAAATTAATATTAAAAATAAAAATGAATACATTTGAAACAAATCTAGTGTTGATGTTATTGTTGTTATAGCTGCTGCTGTTGCGGTTGCCGCTGCTGCTCATTCGCTGGAAATGGCGCATTTACACGTTATTTTTTTGCTTGTTTCAAAATGGGCAAAATTGATTAACTACTTGTTTTCATTTGTCCGATTGTTATGGGGCTTATGTAGCATAGCAGAAAATGAATTTTTTTTTAATTTGTGCATTGAAGCGATGCTGAACTTTGATTTGCACGTCTGAATCGGCGCGCACATGTTTGTGATGTACATGGGGAAGTGTCAAAGACTTGATACTTAACGACCGAAATCGACGAAAGTGATATGAAAACAGAATTCGAAACGACGACCACGACGACGACAACAACAGCAATGTAAAAGAAAAAAGAAGCAGCAACAGAGTGTGTACGGATCTAAAGAATGTGTGTTATCACCAAACCGAAATAATAACTGTATTGAACATAACACATGCACTTTGAATGATGATTTTGGAGCACCAAACACATCATCCATTCCATTGGGAAGTAGCACTCAGCTTAGCCTCAAGTCAATAACAATTGGTGTGTCAACGACACATTCGTAGCTACCGTATACGTTGTTCCGCTTGGGTTCGATGATACAAACGCTGTGTGTTTTCTAATCGACAATGATTACAAATATCTTGAATCGGTTTTCGGTGCACAATCTAAATAGACATTAATTATAAATCAAAAACCTGATTCGAACTGTCACTCGATGATCAAACTCATATAAATGTATGTGATGTGTGGTGTTGGCTAGTTAAATCAATTGAAGTTCGTGTCGCTTTGTCAGAGTGAATAGCATGAATTCGATCAGATTGTTTTATCAAATGTGAATTTACATCAAATTCGGTGGCTACTTGGTCATTTTTTTTTTTCTTCGACAGAAAACAATCAGTCAATAAAATGAAAGAGACATTTGTGCAGCTATATTAAAGTGATGATTGCATTTGAAATTAATCTGAATCCTTCTTTGACTCACAAATCTAGTAAGTGCTGTTGTGTGTAAACATAATTTTAAAACATTGCATATTGTAATTGTTCGTTGCATCAACACCGTTTGATTTCTGCATACAAAGCTCAATATTGTCTTTGATCATACGTAGTATGCATCTAATATTCATTTCATCGCTTTGAGCTCAAATTTTATTCTTTATTCATGCACACATACCGAATACTAGTATTCTATTTCATATATCTCAACAGAAGCAGCTGAACGAATTGACGCGATCAGTTTAGCGGGCGCAACAGTTCTAATAATAAATCAATTGAATGCGTAAGAATTAAACGAAAAGATTTAAAGATTTTCTTCGTTCGTACGTAAGTGACGTTTATATCAGAAGTATCGCACGGCAAAGCCACACGAAATTTCGTTGACATTTCAAAGTGAATTATAATCAGTGCTTTTCATGCCGGTATTTTATATGCATATTTGTTGTGTTTGAACAACATTCGAATTCTTTTCATTTTTATTTTATTTTATTTTTATTTATTTTTTTTATTTTTATTAAACACCGCCAAGCTCTGGCTGAATATAATG